CTGCCCCCAAACTGAGCCGCACGCCCCCGGTCCCCGGCAGCGCATCAGGTGGCGGGGTCGTAGGAGAAGGGGAGGGGGGATCTGGGGGGTGTCCTGTCCCTATCCCGGCTGGGCTGCACCTCACAGCCTGTCCTCAACCCCCGAAAGGCATCCTCCAACCCCCTGCTACCCCATCCCGTGCACCCCCCCTCCCGCCCCGTCCTCAGACCAACCAACGTGCAACCCTGCTCCCCAAAAATACGCACAAGCCCTGTCCTCACGCACAACCACGCACAACCCCATCCCAGGCACAAACCCGTGCTCAGACCAGCCGTGCAAGCTCCGTGCCCGCGTACAAACACATCCCTGCACTCTCAAAGTAACGTACGACTCAGTTCTCCGAGCCCAAACTCATGCAGAAGCCCCATCCCCAAGCCCAAACTCATGCAAAACACCCATCCTCAAGCTAAAACCCATGCCCAAGCTCCAATCCCAAACCCAAACTGATGCAAAACCCCCATGCTCAAGCCCAGTCCACGCGAAACCACCATCCTCAAGCCCAAATCCATGCAAAACCCTCACCCTCAAGCCCAAATCCACGCAAAACACCCATCCTCAAGCCAGAAGTCATGCAAAAACCCCATCTTCAAGCCCAAATCCATGCAAAAAACCCATCCCCAAGCCCAAACTCATGCAGAAGCCCCATCCCCAAACCCATGCAGAAGCACCATCTCCATCCCCAAACCCATGCCCAAGCCCCGTCCTCAAGCCCAAACTCATGCAAAACCCCCATCCCCAAGCCCAAACCCATGCAAACCCCCCATCCCCAAGCCCAAACCCATGCAAACCCCCCATCCCCAAGCCCAAACTCATACTTTAACCCCCTCCTCAAGCCCAAACCCCTGCAGAAGCTCCATCCCCAAATCCATGCAGAAGCCCCATCTCCATCCCCATCCCCATCCCCATCCCTCCCGCCCGACGGCGGGGTCCCGGCGGGGCAGCCCGTCCCGGTTCCCCTGCCCCACTGCGGGTCGTTGCGCTGCGACCCCACCCCACCCCACCGAGGGCACAGCGGGGCGGCTCATGGGGGGGGTCCGGGGCTGCTCCGCGCCTCCGTCAGCCCCGGTAATTCCTCCCCCCCCCCCCCCGGGGGCGCACCCCCCCCGCAAAAAAACAC